CGGTGGCGATGTCTTCGTTCTCGTCCACATCGACCTTCAGGAACACCACTTCCGCCGCCAACTCGTCGCTCATTTTGTCCAAAACGGGACCAATCATTTTGCAGGGCCCGCACCAGGTCGCGTAGAAATCTACCACCACCAATTTGCCACCCGCGCCCGCTAATTGACCATCAAAGTCTCCCTAATCAAACAAGCATCGTCAAAATTAAACAAACTTGCTAATCATGCAACATGCACCATGTTACATGGTCAATGTTGGATAGTTTGCCGCACCAACCGTGCGATACATACCTTGTCTGCCACGTGATGGACACCCATTGTATTTGTTTGTATGGATTGGATTGGCTTTCAATTGAATTGATTTAATAGTCAATTGAATGACGAGTTAATTGTTATAAGCGTTTGAAAGCGTTATACAAATGTGTGTCAAATGGTGTGACAAATGCCGACAATAAGTGCTGCGAAAAACGCTGTGAAACGCTCTGCGCGTCTCATGTCATGCCTTCAACACAAGCCAACCAATCGCTGCCTAACTTTCATGACTGAACACTCCCTATAGTGTACTCTATCGGACACTCAACCAAACACTTATTGCCTCAAACTTTTCAATCATTGCATCAAATTGTGATCAATTAAGTGCTAAATCAGTGCATTATTTCACTAATCTATACAACTATTCAATTCATAATATGAATGTCATATTATGACTTAACCGTTTTGTATTTTTAATAATATTGTGTGTTTTATATGTATTTATAAATTATACATCTTATAATACTGAACTATATGTTCAATCAATTCACACAAAATATAATTAATTTTAAAAATGAGTTATGACTGTGAAGTCATAAATTGGTTAACAGTTACCACGTTTACCAATCATGACATCATACCATAAATGTAGACTTAAGTCTAGACATACGGTATATGTTGTAAACTAATTAATGAATCAATACAATAATTATTGATATAACTATTAATTTAATCACTGATAAGTTGGTTACAATAATAGGATCATGATCGGCACACCAACCCAATTATGTGATTACTAGTATTATAATAATCAATAAGCATTTTTAAATACATGTAGAATATATTGCATTAATTGTTATATCAAGTTATAATTAAACTGTTATCTCATCGACAATATTGAATTAAACCTTTTTGCAATTTGTCGGTTATTGCATTGAAAATTGCATTTACCGTAAAACAATTTAGTCATGTCATCTAACCAGACCAGCTCTCTCTCTCTCTCTCTCTCTCTCTCTCTCTCTC